CAAGTGCTCAGTGAGTCACAGCGCCCTTCACCAGCGCTCCTGCCCTGCCCATCCGTACTCACATGGAAGTGGTGAGCACATTTCATCGGGACACATTATTTTTTAAACTGGTTAACATAAGGTGGCAATTAGTTTTTAGGCAGCCCCACAGAATGTATTATGTAACAATGGCAAGGAACACGCTGCTAGCTCTGTAGGTATATTTACTATAGATCTATAAGCAGATTTAAATCTGAGAGTTCCACTGCTTTAGAATCTCTACCTCCACTTCTTTTCCTCAATCCTGCTTCTCCAGCCCTTCTCTGACTCTCATCCCTCTACCACTATCTATCTCATGTCTCTCCCACTCTCCCACTCTGGACTGTGGCATTAGCAGCACCTCCTCAGCTGCCACCCAGGGACTATTCTCCCCACAGGGTCAGCAGTCCTGCTAATGTGAGTCAGGTTGTGTGTCATTTCTTCCCCCAAAATGCACCAGTGACTCAGTCTCATTCTGGGAAGCCTCTAACAAGTAAGACACACAAGCACAGGGGCTTTGGGCTGTTCAGGTCAAATTTGACTCCCAGCACATGAAGCTGCTTCTGGTACATAGTAGACATTAAATTAATTGTTGTTGAATGAATGAATGTCAATTGTATTAAATTTTTAATTGCATTATATGAAATCATAAAAAATACCAAAATGTTAGCAAAGATTTTAGTACATGTACATGTAATACTGCTGTGCATATCGGTTCATAAATTTATTCTGGGGGAAAAATGCTGTGTGCTTCTCTGTGGCACAGTTGAGCCTGGGTATTATATAAATGCTGTGTCACATATAAACACAACTATATACACATCACCACAGACTTGTGGCTCAAAACAACCCTCATTTATTTGCTAACATTACCTTAATGGTAAATGCAGGTGTGGTGTGGATGGGGTCTCTGATCAGTCACAAAGCTGTGCCCTCATCCTGAGCTCAGACCCCTGTCTAAGCTTATATACAGATTAGTAGCCCTGCACACGAATCCGTGCACTAGTAGCTTGCCAGTGCCCGGCCCTCTTGTAGCTCCCCCCACCCCTCCTGCTGATCCTTGATCTGGTCATTATGTTGTCGGTTGTAACACGGTCGGGTTGGTCGTTATGCTTCATGGTGTAACGACCATTTGCATATTACATCTTTATTATATAGCATTGTCAGCAGAATTCAGTGTCTTCAATTGTGGGTTTGAGGTCCCTGTTTCCGTGACAACTGTCAGGGAGGAGGAGCCTGGGGAGGGCTGCTCCCAACACCTGGTGGCACCAGCAGTCTTTACCATGTGGCCCTTTGTTTTCAAAGCCCCCAGTGGGGAAGATGGCTCACATTGAACTCCTCTCACCCTTGGGATCTCTTTGATCTGGAGGAACCCCAGTCAGCTCTCATCTCATTGGGACAATCCCATCCAGGGCAGTCTAAAGGTCAACTGATTTGAGATCTACTTCCATCTGCAAAATCCCTTCCCAGCAGCCCTAGGTTAGTGTTTGGTTGAATGACTGGGGAAGGTGAATAACCAGGTTGGTTACTGGAGACCATCATAGCACGACCTGTCCTTCCGTTAGTATTTATTGGTCATGGTTGGAAATGGACATGCAAATAAATAGATTTATTTATTTAATAATGCATTCTGCCTATTAGCCATGGAAATTCTCCTCCTTCTCCTCCCCCTCCTCCTCTTCCTCCTCCTCCTCCTCCTCTGGCTCCCTCTCCCACTCTCTCCTGCTCCTTCTTCTTCTTTCCTAGCCACGTAAATTCTTACATCTTAAAAGGAAATTATATGTTTGAATATCTTATAATTATTTCCCAACAAATGAAAATTAAAGTGCAATCATTCATTCTCCCTTTGGAATCTGTTTTAGTCAGGTATTGCAGCATAACAAATTACTTAACACTAAATATTGTTTCAGGATTTTGCAAGTCAATGCTTCCTTTATCTGATTATTTTCTTCAATATTTTAAATTATACTTTGGAAAGAAAGGTTAAATGAGACAGAGTAAGAAGGAACAATAATATTTGTAAGTCGTTTTTAGAGAGACCTTTAGTAGTAATGTTCCCTATAGTAAGTGACAGCACAGTTGAGAACACACAGTAGCTAGATCAGAGTTTAAAGACTGGGCATCTCAAATAGGGGATTCCTGTTCGTGTTGAATTGGTGCCAACAAATAACAGTTGACACTCACAGATGTAATCTCTATCCCATCCCCCAGATGTAACCTCTCTCCTGAGTCCTGTGCTTCTTATACTCTTGAGATTCTCTAAAGACTTTCAATTAAGTGTGTACTTATCTTCAAACCGAATGTTATTTAGTTTTGCCAGTTTTTAAATTTCCTGCACAGAGGACTGGTACTGCATGGACACACTGAGACCCAGCATTACCTAAGACAGTCACCTCTCACCTGTGAGGCTGTGCTTACACTTTCAGTGCTGAAGTCTTACATTTTATAGTGAAATTTTGCTATTTTCCTATTGATGACTATGTGGCTATTCCAGTTTTGCTGTAACCAAGAGTGTATATGTCTCCTGGGGCACAAGGCAGAAATTTCCCCAGAGCAGGTGGGCAGATGTGGGAATGCTGGGCCCTGTGGGGCCTGTATGGTGACCAGACTCCATGACGCTCATGTGATTTCCAAAGTGCTCCTGGCACACTGTCATTTCTGATGTGGCCGGGGTGGGACAGTGTCAGAGGTTTCTCTTTGTCCTTCAGCACAATTACAGCACTTACTCCATAGACAGGAACCCAATGTGAAGGTCACAGCAAGGGCCACCTGTACTGATGCCAATTCTGTATGTGGAAAGTGGGACCGTAACCCTGGGACTCACCCATGGACCCAGCAGTCACACTGGGAGCTTCCATTTGTAAGCCCCGCTGTCATAAGGGCAATGGTGATGCTGTGAGAATTGGGTGTCAATGCCAAGTCTAACCCAATGTGCAATACTCAGAGTTTGGGCCATTTCTCTCCCTGGTGGAGAGTCACTGGAGTAAGGGCTGCATGTTTCCATGCAGAGGGGTTGAGGGGATTGTCCCAGCACTTACCACGGCTTCTCAGGGGCCAACCTCCTAGGGCAGGGGTGGGCAACCTTTTTGTGAGTGCGTGCCAAAAACCAGCAAAATCTCTGACTCAAAATTCTTCTGTGGGCCAACCCTAATTTTTTGAGAACATGTTATGCCTACTTGTTATCTCTTAAGGTGTACGTATGTGAAGAACCTTGAAGAAATAATAAAATTCATTCGAGCGACAAAAACACAGTATATGATGATGAAAAACACATTTATTTTTAAATGTATACATGTACACTGATAGTCTGACAGAAAACTTTATGACTCCGTTTGATATTATCAGTGGGACTTTTGCTGCTGCACCACTGATGACAGATTTTATAAGTACCACACGCTAACCGATTGCACCACTGGAGCTCCAGCAAGATGACAGAGATTTTACATCAGGTTTATATTTTGTGACCTTCAGAGATATGCATGAGCTACTACTTTCATCCGTCAGGCTACTCCTATTACGAGACATAATAAAATTCATCACTGAGAACAAAGATTCACAACTGTAAATGGAAGATTATAAGAGAGGGTTTCGAGTACCAGCAAAAGTTACTGGCGTGACATGTTTGGCATGCGTGCCAGGGGCTGCCCGCCCCTGTCCTAGGGATTTGGACACCTCTTCAGCCAAAAGACTCTCAATTTGAACATTGGCTGAGGCCTGGGTACTCAGCAAGGGATCCTGGCTTTTTATTGGGCCAAACACCCTCAGCCTCCTGCCCCTAATTCTTGCCCTGTTATCTACATTAAGCAGCATTCTTGTGGACTACCCTCCACCATGGTCTCAATTCATGTTTAAATCCTAACCCCCACGGTGCTAATATTAGCAGGTGGGGCCTTTGGGAGGCTAGAGCCCTCATGAATTAGATTAGTGCTCTCATAAGAGACCTGAGAGAACCCCTCCCACCTCCCGTCACCTGATGTCACAGCTAGAAGGCACCATCTATGAGAAAACAGGCTTTCCCCAGACCCCAATTCTGCCAGGGCCTAGATCTTGATCCCAGCCTCCAGAAATGTGAGAAATAGATTTTTGTCGTGTATAAGCCACCCAGTTATGATATTTGTTGTAGCAGCCAATACGCACTAAGACGCAGTCTGTTCTGACCCAAGTGTCCCTTTGTATCAGCTTCTTCAAAGCTCCCTGCAGGTCCAGTGCCAGCCTTGCCTGCTCCACTGGGGTTGTGGTGTTGGTTGCGGCTTCTGGCTTTGGTTGGTTACCCCTTGGTCCCTATGTCTTCAGGGTCATATCCTTGCCCTGATATTCATGAGCCAACTCTGGGACCACCTTTCCTACTGTCATCCCAGCTGCAGAGGACACAACACCGTCCTGATGGCTATAGTGAAAGGTGAGCCTTCTGGGCCCCCTTGTGGAGCACAGT